ACTGAATCCAGTAAGCAACGTCAGAGACAAGAAGGGCTTCTAGAAGTACATAAGCAACAAAGAGACAACTAGGGAAAATGTGGGTCCATTGCTCAAAAGATGGGAGATCTGGTTACATATGACCCAGAAGAGGCTGAAGTACTGAATGCCTCCTTTGCATCAGTCTTTACTAGCAAGACCAGCCTTCAGGAATTCCAGGCCTCAGTGAGCAAGGCAAAAGCCTGGAGTAAGGAAGAAATTCCCCTGGGAATCTTGGAAGAGGATTAGTTTAGAGAATACTTAAGTGTTCTGGACACACTTAAGTGCATGGGCTGCGATGGGATGCAACCAGAAGTGCTGAGGGAGCTGGCAGATGCCATTGCGAGGCTGCTCTCAACAATCTGATCAACCATGGTGACTGGGAGAGGTGCCTGAGAACTGGAGTAAACCAAATGTAGCTCCTGTCTTAAAGAAGGGTAAGAAGGAGGACCTGGGGAACTACAGGCTGGTCAGTTCACCTTGATCCCTGGGAAGGTGATGGATAGCTAATCCTGGACACCATTTCCAAGCACATTAAAGACAAGAAAATCATCAAGAGTAGTCAGCATGGAGGGGACATCATGCTTGACCAACTTGATAAACTTTCATGATGAATTGACTGGCCTGGTAGATGACTGGAGAGCAGTGGATATTGTCTACCTGGACTTCAGTAAGGCCACTTTGACAGTGCCTCCCATAGGATCCTCAGAGACAAGCCGCTGATGCACAGGCCGGATAAGCAAACAGTGGCATGGACTGAAAACTGGCTTAATGGCTGGGCTCAGAGAGTGGTGATAAGTGGGAATTTTGCTGATGACACAAAACTTGGAATGGTAGCTGATATGCCAGATAGCCATGCTGCCAATTCAGAGGCAGCAGGCTGGTGAAATGGGCCAACAGGAACCTCATGAAGTTCAACTGGAGAGGAACAATGCCAGGCACTGCCACAGGCTGGAGGCCACCCAGCTGGAAAGCAGCTTTGCAGAAAAGGACCTGAGGGTCCTGGTGGATCATGAGCCAGCAATGTGCCCCTGCAGCAAAGCAAGCTAATGGTGTCCTGGGCTGCATTAGGAAGAGCATTGCCAACAGGTCAAGCATGGTGATCTTTTGCCTCTAACCAGCACTGGCAAGGCCACACCTGGAGTACTGTGCCCAGTTCTGGGCTCTGCATACAAAAGAGACATGTGCATACTGGAGAGAGTCCAGCAACGGGCTACAAAGATGGTTATGGGACTGGAGCATCTCTCCTATGAGAAAAGGCTGAGAAAGCTGGGACTGTTCAGCCTCGAGAAGAAAATGTTCTGGGGAGATCTTATGAATGTACATAAATACCTGAAGGTAGGGTGAAAGGAAGGTAGAGTCAGGCTCTTTTCAGTGGTGCCCAGTGACAGGACAGAGGCAGTGGGCACAAATTAAAACACAGGAGGTTCCCTCACAAACATCAGGAAACATTTTTTCACTGTGAGGGTGACTGAGAACTGGCACAGGTTGCCTAAAGAGATGGTGGAGTCTCCATCCTTGGAGATGTTCAAAAGCCATCTGGAAATGGTCCTGGACAACCAGCTGCAGGTGGCCCTGCTTGAGTGGAGGGCTGGACAAGATGACCGCCAGAGATCCCTTCGAACCTCAGCCTGACTGTGATATCTGCCAGCAAGTACCTAACGTTGCTGTGCACACCAATGCCAAACACCTGAGAAAAAACAGCAGAAAGTAAACTTATCTGCACCACTGCGAACATAAAAATGGCAAAATTTAATGGACCAAAAATTCTTTGACTTATTATTTGAAAAACAGGGTGTAGGTGGTGGGGGCTGTAAAATAAAAGTAATTCCATCCCTGTAAACTTCACTTAAAGATCTAAAAGTAAGTATCTAAAATATAATACACCTTTAGATGGACAGAGTTACTAGAAGGAGTACAAGCTCAGTATCTAAACAGAAACAACTGCTTCAAAGCCTAAGACCACGAACATTTAGAAACTATAATATTTTTCTCTTTAGTAATGTTATAGCCTTTCTCTGTCTAGAGTAAGACTGCAATACCCAAGTAGTTTTATGTGCATACACACTAAACATTTATCACAAAAGCTAGATTCAAAACTTACTACAAACATATACAATCATATTCAAGGATTAAAATATTGTCCTTTATAACTGTTTGGAAGACAGACATAACAATGTTGTAGACTTATAAAAAGGAAAGAATAATTTTTTTTTTTTTATTTTAACACATACAACTCTTTCAGGAATCAGTGCAGTAGTAGGTGTCTAGAATCACAAATTTAGGCTTTACCTATTGAGTTCTAGAAGTCACAGATGCAAACAATAATGTGTCAAAGTTAAAAACCTGGAATCTTAACATTCTGTGTCAGGAATGTATCACTGACATCAAGTGGTGCAGATCAGAATTACAATACTAAGCCACCAAAGAAAGTCACCCAAACATGGATTTTTCAATGGTTGACTCTGTTTGAAAGTTGCAAAGTTAAAGAAAAACTCATGGAGATGATAAAAACTGCAGTGCATCACTAACTTAAATTATGATCCTAGAATGCAACTGATTGTGAAGTAAACTGTTTCATTTCATGTGTTTTTAAGAAAAATAAAAACACCTTTGAGTCTCAAAAAGGCGCAAACACCTCTCCTATCACTCCCTTGCACAAGATCCTTAATAGACTTGAAGAGAAAAGGGTTCATCTTCTTCCACAGAATTCCGTGTAAGTTAAGAAAACTAGAAGATTAGAATAGAGAATGTATTTATAAATTATTTCTTCACAGAATCGATTTGCCTGGAAGAGACCTCTGGGATCACTGAGTCCAACCTTTGCCCTAACACCACCATGCCAACTAGACCACAGTACTAAGTGCCACGTCCAGTCTTTTAGAAAAGACCTCCGGGGCTGGGGACTCCACCACCTCCCTGGGCAGCCCATTCTAATGCCTAATGACCCTTTCTGTGAAGAAATGCCTCATTTCTAGCCTGAACTTCCCATGGCAAACTTTCAGACTATGCCCTCTTGTCCTGACACCAGTTGCCTCAGAGAAGAGGCCAGTCCCCACCTCACTACAACCTCCTTTCAGATCGTTGTAGAGAGTGATCATGTCTCCCCTCAGCCTCCTCTTCTCCAGGCTAAGCAACCCCAGTTCCCTCAGCCACTCCTCAGACTTACGCTCCAGACCCTTCACCACCTTCGTTGCCCTTCTCTGGACACGCTCCAGCACCTCAATGTCTTTTAAGTGCGAGGTCCAGAACTGAACACAGCACTCGAGGTGCGGCCTCACCAGTGCCAAGTTCAGGGGGACGATCACTTCCCTAGTCCTGCTGGCCACACTTTCTGATACAAGCCAGGATGCCATTGGCCTTCTTGGCTACCTGGGCACACTGCTGGCTCATATTCAGCGGGCTGTTAACCAGCACCCCCAGGTCTTTTTCTGCTTGACCACTTTCTAACCACTCTTCCCCCAGCATGGAACACTGCATGGGGGTTTTGTGGCCAAAATGTAGGACCTGGCACTTGTTCTTGTTGAACCTCATGCTGCTGGTCTCAGCCCATTGATCCAGCCTGTCAACGTCCCTTTGCAGAGCCTCCCTAACCTCCAGCAGATCAACACTCCCACCTAGCTTGGTGTCATCTGCAAATTTACTGAAGGTGCACTCAATCCCTTCATCCAGATGATCTGTAAGGATGTTAAACAGCACCAGCCCCAAAATTGAGCCCTGGGGAACACCACTTGTGACCAGCCGCCAACTGGATTTAGCTCCATGGACCACAACTCTCTGGGCCCAGCCATCCAGCCCGTTCTTTTACTCATCGAAGAGTCCACCTATCTAAGCCGCGAGCAGTTAATTTATTTAGGAGGATGCTGTGGGACACTGTGTCGAAGGTCTTACTAAAGTCTAGGTAGACAACATCCACAGCCTTTCCCTCATCTATCAAGCAGGTCATCTTCTCATAAAAGGAAACCAGATTGGTCAAGCATGATTTTCCTTTCATAAATCCATGTTGGCTGGTCCTGATCCCCTGATTTTCCTGCATCTGCTGTGTAATGGCACTCAAGATGATCTCTTCCATAACCTTGCCCGGAACCGAGGTCAGGCTTACAGGCTTGTAGTTCCTCAGATTGTCTTTCCGACCCTTCTTGTAGATGTGCGTTACATTCACTAACTTCCAGTCTGTTGGAACTTCTCCAGTTAACCAGGACTGCTGATAGATGATTGCAAGAGGCGTGGCAAGTTCTTTTGCCAGTTCACAATGTATTAATGATGAGTAATTCACTTCAATCATTCACATTTTTCTAGGGAACTATGGTACAACAGTTAACCACGCAAGAGCACTCTGGATGTCATTCTGCTAACCTAGTTTCCTCTACTCCCAAAGACAATCAAGATGGCAGGAGCTAACACCTCAGATTACAGTATTTCTGCTGACATTTATGAAGTGTGTTTTTAACCATGTCAAGTGTCCTAATGGTTAGGGATGTGGGAAAAAACCCTGCTTTAACAGCGATAGTTTCAAAAGAATGACAACGTCCACTGCATAAATATACCAGGTCCATTACAAAAGGTATTTGAAAAACACACCAAACCGTCTGCATGTCTTCCTCTCTCTTACAGTTACAAAAGGCTGGCACAGCTATGAGCTTCCAGGACAATTATATACTGGCTGTAGCCATACATAATGGCTACACAGAACAACCAGGAGAACATTCTAAATTTTGTCTTACAGGATAATAAACTCTTAAAAAGTAACAGCCTTTACTTCAGGGCAACCATAAAATAAAGCAAGCTCATTACATTATGACACCCACGAAACAGAAGAATTTTGATGTCACCGTCAGATGTATGTATGTCTTCTTACAAAGTATTTAAATGAACTCATGCTTCAAGAAAGAAAAAGAACAGGAGGATACCAGTTTTCCAGAAGACAGAATCTTTTTCATATACCTCCACCACAACTGAAAGACAAGTCTGAAGCTTCTTACCACTTCTGTTGATGTCTCTGCATGCTCAGAAGTAACATGTTCTTGAAGAGATGTTTCCGTATAACCCATTTTCCCACAATAAGGACAAGTAAAAGACTGTGGTTGCTCTACAGAGAAAGCTTCTCCACCATAGTACAAATCTGGAACAGAAAGTGTTTAAATAGAGATTACTTCAAAGCAGTGGTGTAATTTATTTTCTTCATGTAAACCTCTGTTTAGAAGAGTATCTCAATGTAATCACTGCCAAATTATTCTGTTAGTTAATTGAGATGGCTATTTTAATCTTGAATGAAGGCCATAGGCTGATATTCAAGAAGTGTTCAATTACTGATGACAAAAACCAGACAGACTACATTTCATTTTCATTAGCAAACATAACATAGTTTTCTAATATTCAGTAGGAGCAAAGACTCCTATGACGATGATGCTGCTACCGCCAAACCTTCACTTTTCCAGCACCCTTCCTATCCCATATACAGGGTCACCTATGGTATGTTTCAATCATCAGTTTTCAAAAGCTGAACTCTCAACAGTACCTCAAAAATTCAGATTAAAATGTAGAAGTCCTCAGTGATACCATATGCCAGTATTTATGCCATAGTTGAACCACTGCTTCACAGTAAGTAGTTTTCGAAATTTCTCAAATATATAATATAAAAGACTGACAGTGAAAAACGAATCTGATTATCTTTTACACACTGGTTGCAACTCTTAGGTGTGTCAAATTTAAGCACTTTTGCACTACTGATGAAAAGCAGGCACTTTTAAATTGTTAATCTAGAAGTTCCCCAAACTTAACATGAAAATTTATCAAATCATGCAAGAAAAGAATGCTTTTCTCTATAGGAATTTCTGTATTATTCTATAGGAAACATGAATAAACTTCACATTCACATCAAGATAAAAAGTGTGATTTTCTACAGCAAATAACTTAAAATCTTTCCACTGACTTTTTTCTAGGACTCACTGGTAACTGACTAATATTTTCACATATTTATGAATATTCTGCTATAAATTAAAAATTGGACAAGTCTGAACAGATACTAGGACTCATGTTCAGCACCACAAGACAATATCTAATGTGTTAGATGTGTTCTGATGGCTTATATCACAGCTTCCTAAGGTGTATGACATCTTCTGCTACTGACCTCTCTTTAGGACATGACTAGGAAAACCAGAACAACATTTTTGTTTCTGCAGCCCTACAAAAGATGATGTTCAAGCTAAAAATGTACGTATCTACAGTCCACTATATTAATAGATAGTATTTTGCATATAACTATGTTTTGAGGGCTAACACTCCAAGACCAATACAGGAAATTAACTTCTTAGTAAAATGCTAATATGCACACTTAAAGATACAGAATCAGACTAAATACACCGCAGAATAAAATTTATGTTCAGTAAGGCCCTGTTCCCCTTATTTGGAAATGGCTTCCAGAGAATTTAAATGCTGGAGGATGAAAGAAAGATATTCATTTCACAGGCATGGTAAGAAATGCCCAAGATGACAGACAGACTTGTCAAAGAAGAAACACTACCTGACACACTGAGCATTTCAACTAGTTCATCAAATTAACTAGTTCATCAAATTAACTATCACACTAAGCTTGAGTACCATCCTGAATCTAAGTTCATTTATTCACATACACATGAAGAAAACATTCTGTCCCACTATCCAAAGTAAAAAGTTCCAAGCCATTAAGTCTTAGTTCTCTAAAGCAGGATCTGAGGTTCCATTAAATGTTTTATACAATAAGGCACAGAAGTAACTTTTCATTAGGGGATGGAACTGTGTATCAAATACGACTGAAACAGAGAACTATACAGACTGAAAGTCAGCATGAACATAAGTTGGAAGACATGCCCAGAAGATTAGCACCCTCACCCTGCAACCTGAAAGTTGTTCATACAGTACTGACACAGAGGCTTGGAATCATTATTAGAGGGAAATCCTAAAGGTCCTTCCACAACATGTATCAGGACTCAGTTCTGAACATATCTGAGTCATTCAACACACAAATGATGGGCATTTCCTTGACAGGCTGTCAGGTATTCAGCTGGCATTCTAACAACGAGACATGTGGTATGTCTTAATTCAAAATATCTGTCATTATCTAATGCCCTATTAATCCATGGCAAGAATCAGTGAAGCTACGAAGAGCAAGGTCTACCTTCCCACATTTACAGGAGAGGTCGCTGGCCAACACTTAAATATACCATATTCAACTGAAGATGCCAAAACTACCAGATTGGAAGAAAGTTTCTTACGAACTCTTAAATCTGCTTGTTCAGTTTATAAGCGAAGTATCAATCAGCTTTAGAGTGTGTTCCGAACAGGAACAACAGCAAATTCCTCCATGTCAAAGCTTTTAAAACCATGACTCACAGGAAGCTTGTGTTTATTGTGTAAGAATAGCTACAGTTACTCTGGCAGGTGACCAGAAAAACTGGGTCTCAGGCAGGACTACACAATTAGCATTCAGAACTCTGGCAGTCCTTAGCATACAGGTGTTAAGCAACATCATCCTACAGGATGAACCAGTTAAATTTACTTACACGCACAACTATCTTTTGACTTGAATAGCTTCTCTAAAATTACAGCACACATTTTCCAGGTGGTGACCAGTTTTGTTTCCAAGTCTTCCATTCTCCTCTTATTTACATGACATGCAATAAAGTCTTATATGAGAATTAATCTGCTCCAAGTTTGAGGTGTTATGGAAACTGTTCCAGATACCACACAGAGAAGATCGACATAATTCACAGAATTTCAAGATTTTGGAGCCCCTAACCAGTGCCACTTCATTACATGTTCCACTAAGTATTCCTCCGAAAGTTTCAAGAATCACATTCAGACTCCCATTCTGAAGTAGCCAAAAACCTGAGTGGGGATAAAAAAAACTACCAATATGCTGCAGCATACTCAAATACAAAGAATTGACATATGTCATGGTTTCAAAGGAGGAAAGCACAAACAAGTTCTAAGCAGTCACTAAAACAGTCTCTGAATGGATCAGCCACAGGCACTCTGGAACAGATACTCTTTCAGAAAAATGTGTAAGGCAAAGGATTCAAAATTATCGTTGTCTAGAGCAGATAAATGCAAAATGTGTCAATGAAGATGAGTGCAAAAATCCTCCTTGCAATTATACGAAGAAAAATTCTAATTAAAGCAGCTCATTACACAAGTTTTTACAGTATATAGCAGAAAGGAAAGCTTTAAAGTGTTTTTACTTCTACAGTGTCATTGCACAGAGGAAATGTAAACTTCAGTTCTTGCTTTTTCAGTGTCCTAAAGATATAACAGAGTAGGAACTTAAATAAAGATCCTGGGAGCAAAAATAAGTAACATAGTCAAATTTTTGAACTGAATAGTTAAGAAGAATTCAAAATTTAGCTGCATTTAATCTGCCCAAAACAGCACACACAAACACTATATTGTTCTCTGAAACTCAATAATTCAACAAGAACTTCTGCAAAAAAAATTTTGCATAGCTGTGGGAACAGCAAAAATGCCAGTCACAAACACATCAAAAACTAACGGCAGTTTGTTTAGTTGATCCTCTGATTGCCCTCAAGCTTTGGTATGATCCTCACGGTGATGATTAAATAGCCGTTTACTGATTGGAAAATGGAAATTCTCCATCACTGCAAACACACACACACACACGTACAAGGACATCAAGTTAAATCTTCCTTTGAGCACTCTTTCTAGCTAAGCAGACTCAATTCTGGGAATTCTCCAAGTCCTGGCATGTTATATACTGATCTGGATAAAGAATGATGGTGACTCAGAGGCAAGCTAATAAAAAAAGGTGCAAATCATCTTATTCTTTAGAGGATTTGCATATAAAAGTAACTTCTGCACCTACTATCTAAAAAGAAAAAAAAAACTCCCTCAAAACTATCAGGTGGTTTAAAAACCTCTACCTACAAACCTTACTGCTTCATGAATGTAAGTATTTTCAAGTAAGGCAAAAGTATCAACTCCAACTTCCCATTTGAGCAAAGGGCAGAGGGCACAAACAATCTGAAGAAAGTGGTAAATAGATTAGCATGCAGGTAAAAATATCTTTTCCTTAGTTAGCTCAGTCCAGATGTCAAGAATTCCAGCAATACACACTGTTCTATCACAGAGGGGAGAGGTTTGACAAGTAGTGACAAATCCTGTGTTTCTCGTCCTTACTTTTAAAGAATACAAAAAAAGCCATTTATTAAAAAAATAAAAATCTGAGTTCTTTCCACCCTCCTGATTATACTCCTGCATGTTCTCCCACTCATACCTCCTTCAACATGTTTGTAACAATACACAGCAAACGTACGAGCACACGCTGAATAAATATGCCTTCATCTGGAAAAAAAATAATTAAAAAAATGCACCTGTCAGAACAGAAGTCAGTCGCTGACAAATGTAAATATTCTTCCTTTGGAATTTTATACCTCTTTTTTTTCCTCCTCAACTTCAGTCTCTCTCCATCTCTTACAATCAAAATCTGTCCCTTTCCTAATCTGAAATACAGGTCACCAGATAAGTTTTCTTTTAAACTGTAACACAATTAAAAAAGTTGGTAATTAATGGTATCATGAATCCGTGTGTATAATTTTAGTGCTGAGGTTACTGAATGGGTATTTCTTTAAAAGTACATCAAAAATCCTAACAATTATTAACACATATTATACACATTATTGACTATCAAAGGCTCATTTGCTAGGAAGATCCTAACAATTACAGGTAGTATGGGAGAAAAATGAAAAGGCCACAACTTCACGCCTCCAGAAGCCAGGTAATCTACAACTGTATTACTATTATAATTTACAGTTGTATTACTGTTATGATGCAACCAGTCCGTGACCAAACAATCATCCCTTCTGGCCACAAAGACATCTTTCAGATAATGTATTTTGGTTCTTTCCAAATGCCTTCCTACACAAAAGCAGGAGTCCATGACTCTTGAAACTCCTCTGGACCTCTAAAGCCCTCTCTTCAAAGTAGCTAGGAAGACAAGATTGCTTAGTAAGAAAGAAAACTAGACTAAAACACATCCCTCTAGAAGATTCATTGCCCACACTGCTTATCAATTAAAGGAATACAACAGAGTAAAAGGATCAGAATACTGTCTAAAGAGGATTCAACAGT